TTATGCAACTCCTCAATAAAATCTCACAACTTTTCAGATTAGCAGTGAGGAGAAGATTGAGCTGAAGGATCAACTTATAAACTCCAGCTTTGGCTTCAGTGGAATCAAGGTGATGGAACACGAGTTCTACAAGGTGAGCTGCTCATGTCTTTGCATGTAGTGATGGGAGACATATATATATATATATAGTGTAGGTTATAGTTTATATTCACGAACACACCACAGAGTGAATGTAACTTCCAAGACATCTAGACAGTGGCCCTGTTAGGTTGATGTGTCGTGATGGCTCGATTTCTCTTTCTGCATAGTTAAGAGTCATTCAGGAGAGTTTTTGAAGTAGCGATCATTAAAGGTAATAGCACAGTGCATGATAATATATGGTGTAAGGTAGGTTGGTCAGACTTTGCAGAACATCTTGGATCCTGTGTTTTGAATTCTAGTAACGCCTTCTTTTTGTCCAGTATTAGACTTGGACAAATTACCCCTCAAGCTTTCTCATTTGCATCATATCTATTGTGTAATGCTTACATGTGTGAGAGTACTTTTATACACTGGAGTAAAACTCTGATTTGTCTGCTTAGTGCTACTTTTTTTTTTTTTTTAATGAACCCTCATCCCCGGGAGCCAGTATCTCATCAGATAGAGACAGATCATCACCGATATGAAATAAATGAGCAAATATTTCTCCCCGGGGCAGTTTAAACCAACATTATGGAAAAAAATCCAGCTTTTCCAAACGTAGAATTACAACGCCACATGTGTTTATCTTACTCTTACTAAAGAAATGCATTGACATTATGTTGTATATTCCGATGTGCATAGTAGGCAAATCTTTTAAAGGCTGTGATTATGTTCTGTCAGTCAGGTCTCTACTCATAATGATTTAACATGCAAATGGATTAAATGCAGTTTTTCTATTAACAGAATTTAAAAGCTAGAGTTTAATTTAAATTTCCTTGCTACTGACAATCATTGTCACTGGGAGAATGTAAATCATCCCATTTGGTTTGCTGAGCTTAAATTGTATCCTTGGATCACAATTTAAGCAGCCAAATTACTAAGGACACACGGCTGGCCTTTATACTGTGAACACATTAATGATTTAATTGGTTTTTTTTCTTCCTCCAACTGTCATTACGTTTTAAAGGTGCCTTTTCAAGATGCCCTGGATCTTGTGCGACTGAGGAAAGTGTACCTCAAACAAGGCTATGCGTACATTCCCCATCAGGATATTGTCACTATTGTTCTCAATGATTTCCGCACAAGGCTGTCTAAAGCTCTTGCAGTAAGTGAAATTTTATTTTTTTGTTTTGTTAACACAATAATGGAGGAGCACAATTGAGAATTCTCAGCATTTTGTTGCTTTTTAAGCCTAAACATAAGAGTTCAAACTTAAATCTGAGCTTTTTAAAACCTCCAAATCTGCATATACTTTAAACTCCGGTATTGTTCAGACTACAGTAAACATGTAGGCCCATTTTATTGCCTCCAGTACAACACCATCTTTAATCATCACCTTTGTGACTAGGGGTGGGTTTTGATCATCGATTTATCGATTAAAATTGATTCTGGCTTGGATAACGTGATATCGATTCATTAAAATCCTGAATCGATTTTTTAAATATTAATTTATTTTGACCGAAATGCCAGAATCTCAGAGTAAATTTCACAAAATTTCAAGAACCACCAAACAGTTAAAACAGTACATGAGAGCAGGTACACAGATTCTGCACAAACACGTAAACACAAAGCTCGGAGCCTCCGACGGATCAGAATTAGTGAGAGTCGCCTTTCTCACCTGACGGCACGGACACGGTCGGAGCTGAAAGCCGACAGCTCGCTGATTCCGATGTTTCGGCGGGTCCACTTTGTGTTTACGCCCTTTTTGCGTTGATTCTAAAGCTGTTAGTTTGATCTCTCTCCAAACAATATTGACCGAACCAGCAGCAAAAGAAGATCCAAACTACGCTTCACAAAAACATCGTCATGAATTCCCTCTGACTTTTACTGTTTTGCTTCCACCACGATAAAATCACACGTCATGCACAGCTCTCTCTCTCTCTCTCGCTTTCTCTGTATACCTCAAGAACAGTTTCCCGTCTAAAAATCTGTTTTCTGCATTATTCGCTTGCTTGTTACGCACAAGTCTACCGTTGTTTACAGCGCTGTCGGCCGCTGTTTTTTTCCCTTTTACTTACTTCCAAAAAGAAAACCTAATTTCTGCTGTTCAATAGGCTTCTGAACAAATGTAAACTTTTTAAAATTATGCAAAATGCAAAACGCTTAGTTGTGTCTGTAATAAAACCGCTGTAACTTCAGAGGTAATGTTCATAAGTTGATTAATGATTTTCTTTTGTTTTTGATGTACTGCAGAATATTTTTATAAAATCCCAGGCCAAGAAAATCACCTTCATGTTTTTCTGTGTTTTATCTTCAGCTACTTTGACACAAAGGCATCTGCTGTGATGCTCACACTTTTGATAAAGTCTTGCGAGTGTCAGCTTCCTTTTTATAGATACAAAAATATGTAAATGTACTGATCTGAATTATAATATTTCTGACTGTCTGAGGCAAAATTTCCCAGATTCAAATAGAATCGAATTGAATCAAATCGTGGATCGAATCGATTCTAGAAATCAGTGACGATACCCAGCCCTATTTGTGACTCACTCCATCACACCTTCACTTTATATTATTTTACACTAGTGGCCATTTTCATGACATTTGTGCATGCAGAATCCCCGATTCCATAAGGAGAATTATTAAATTGCCATTGTTGCTTTCAGTGCCCCGAGGGAAATGGTAGAAACACAGGGTTCAAATGAGGGGAATAAGTATGCACATGTGGCAGAAAATGTCTGGAGGAAAGATTTGGGACATCTAGTAGGAAAGTGCTTATTGTCCCTGCAGGCATGATGTTTTTTTTAAAGGCTGCTGAAGGGGGTTTATGATGGCACCGTATCACCAAGCTTTTGCATTGCTTAGAATGTCCTGAGGGACTTGAAATGCAATGTTTTGGGAACCAGGCCTTTTTTTTCTCTTTTTTTAATAAATATATAATATATGTGAGAAGACAACCCAAGTTCAGCTCCATGGTGGCGAGTAGTCCAGATGGCAAAATGGGCACAAGGAGCAGCAACTAAAGGCAGTGTCAGTTTGTGGTTTATGAATAGACATTAATCAACGTTAATTAGGCAAGAAATCTTGAAATAGATGACTTTCTGTACTGAGACACAGAAAACAATATTTTATTTCATTACAATTACCAGTATTTGTGAATTACATTTTGTGTTATAGAGTGGTAAGAGCGGTGGATACAGGAATTACACATATTTCTAGATTGGAGAAGCCACTGTTTAAAAGAATTATAGAGAAGACGTCGCTTTATTTTTGGCACAAGAAGCTGAAAATGTAGGAAGAAACTCAAAGTTGTCTGAAGTAGACCACACTCTGCTCATTAATTGGTACAGTAAGGTGGAGTAAATATTGGATCAATATGAGGGGTCAGTGTTTTATAGTTTGGCACCCTTTGCTGAAAATTGGCTCTTTTCCTGGTATAGATCCACATCGGGTGGTCAGAGTTCACTTTATTCACCCATCAAAACATCAATACCCAGGTTCTCACATCCTAATTAACCAGTAGACGATAGACATACATTTACTCTGCATGACAAAATTACTCCTTTGTATAGCCACATGTTGTAACACAGCCAAAGACGACCTTTGAGTTTATCAAAAGTGCACCTGTTTAAAAAAAAACCAAAAAACCCACTAATCACTATTTATTTGTCTTCAAAGACCTTTCATGATTATTTCATTTGCTTTTTTCACATACAGTATGTTATCAGTGCCTGCAAAATATGTGTCAGACATTACCGTACATACCTTTCATATTGTTTTCCCCTCTATAATTGTACATCAGTCTTCCGTGTAGTCTTTTAAACTAGATCGCTGATTTTAAACAAAGGAGCAGCAGTTCTAAGAGAAAATCATTTCAATGCACACTTCAGCTTTTGTGATGTGGTTGTGTTACGTTGTCTGTCACTGTAACAGAGTGGCCACTTTCACCGTCTTCTCAGTTAATACCGTGTCCTCATGACAAAGAGTGGGCTTCTTCGAGCCACTGAGCTAAAATGCTCTCTGGCAATTTGAACTACTTATCTAAAACTCCCCTCTGTCTAAATGAATTGTTTGATAACCAGAATGATTGGATTGTGATTTCTGGGAGTAGTTTTAGATGTACCTGAGAATAAATGCAGAGCAATTTGGTGCTTTTTATTTCTCAAAAAGAAAGAAGTGTAGCATTTAGGTGAGAGGTTTTCAGAATCATAGGGGAAACTATGATTCTGAAATCCTCTCAGGTTGTAGTATAACCAGTGTCGGGAAATCCGTTTGCGTGGATGGTATAGTACAGGACGTCACTGCATTTGCACTATTGTTGACATACAACAGTTGATCAGGCAGGACCAGCTTAGAAATTGGAAGAGAAAAATAAAGCTCAAATGAAAAAGACCAACTTTGTTCGGTTCTGCAATTCTCCAATTTTCAGGTAATTATCCAGACCACTAACTGCTGGAATGGAATAATTCAACAAAACTAGTATTCTTGTAAGTGAGCCAGTGTGTTACTGTAATGGTTATTCTCCTTTGCTGGGGACAGCAAGGGGACATCACAGTGAACGTGTCATTAAAAAGGTATGAAACGGAAAGCTGCCTCTCCATGTGACTCCATTTATTGGTTTGTTGTTCATTTTAACAAACAGAATGCTGCATCTTAAAATGCCTTTGGTGCATGGTTCAAGGCAGACCTTGAACTGACTAAAAGTCAAGAGTCAGGATTTAGACTAAAGCTTTTTTTTTTTGCAGAGGGATGAACATGGATCTTTAGGGGGTGTTTCTTTTCTTTTCTTTTTTTTTTTAAATAAAAAAAACACAATTCAGGCCTACAGCTGCCTGTTTTTAGACTGAGACAGCATGCGAAAGCTGCAAGTCGGAGGATGTTGTGAAGAATAGCCTGACAGTTGCTGTCACATGTTTTAGGATGGTGTTAAAATGTGTTGCGTAAATGATTTGCTCAACCTGAAGTCAGAAAAATCATCTTACTGTTTTTTAAGCCAAGGTTGCGTGGAGATGCATTAACGTTATCACTCTTAAGGGCGCTGACACACTAAGCTGACAAGAGGCTGCAAGGATACATTTAGTAAATCAGGATTTTTGCCATTTGTTTTGAATGTCGTGGATTCTCATAGGTGTCGCAGGATTGATCGCACAGCCAGCAATTTCCTTTTCTCTTTTTTTCGTTGGAAATTAGTAAACACTGAGCAACACATAATCAAGGTCTTTAATGATAGATACTGTGGCGAACTTAACTTTTGGTTTAAATTGTTTACACGTTTCTGATCTGTTTGGATAACGGCGCTCCAGAAAGACAGCTTTAATTACGAGATTCTGTGCGCTAGTTTAAAGTGCAAATAGTTTAAAACGAATCAGGTGCACTTAACCTGCAACGTTGGGCCGTTATAACACTTTGACCTAGACTGTTTGCCATTACTCATGTGATGCCCATCTCTCCTGCAGCTGACAGCTCGCTCGCTACCAGCAGTGCATTCTGATGAACGGCTCCAACCTCTCCTTAACCACCTCAGGTAAGAAGCAGGATGAATAACATCGCTGCTGTTTTGCCAGTGTGGCCATGAAAAAGACTTCTAGCATAATTGATCTTCTGCACCAAAGTGTCTTTGGTTGGTCTGAGTTAACCCAGACTGGCCCTTTAAATAAAGTCCAGATGTTGTGGAAACTTTTTGCCCCTTAGTGCGTGTTCAGCATCATAAGGTTACTAGAAATATACAACTTGTTCACTGTTTTATCTACCATGCCTGCTGCTTTTCTGGGAGAAAATATTGGATGGTAGTCGTGTTAGTTCACATGGGTAATTACAAGGTAGAGAGACAGTCGCAGTTTTAAGAACAAGGTAAGGGAATAAACGGTATAGATCTTTGAGTTCATAGAAAATATTTTGATTTTGGCTTCTTTTTATTATTTGTAGTCTTGGTTGGACAAAGCAAGACAATTGAAGACGTCATCTTAAGCTGTTATGGGTGTTTGTATAATACTTTTAAATCTGCTGAATGTATCTAAAAAAGATCATTTGAGTTTTCTATTTTAAGTTCCTGGCAAACAGTAAACACTGAATAGACTGGTCAAAAGTACTATAGTATCTACAGGTGCTGTTCAGCCAGCAAAGCTATGATATGAAGCTCCTGGTGCACAGGTTTGAGGCTCTGCTGTTATTGAATCAGCAGATCGTTGACAACTACACACATGTATAATGTATTGTTTTTCTTCTTTTAGTCATGCCTATGTGGGACAGGATTACAGCATCCAGAAGAATGTTGGGAAAATCTCCTTGGATCAGATTGATTCAGTAAGTAGCTTTAAACATCTGTTCTTGAAATTTCTTCCTATGGCAAATTCTTCAAGGTGCCTTTTTGCATTGAAGGGCTTTATTGCTATGTACTTATAGAAAAATATAAATTATATAAGGCATTTCTTCAGGTTTGTCATTAACAATTACCTGCTTACAGCTTTCAGGGAAGTCATTCCCATTGTGTATGAGGCAGCTCCACCAGTCTCTTAGAGAAAACCATCATCTCCGCCATGGAGGTCGGATGCAATACGGTCTCTTCCTCAAAGGTATCGGCCTGTCTTTGGAGCAGGCACTGCAGTTCTGGAAAATGGAGTTCACAAGAGGCAAAGTGGATGCAGACAAGGTAATGGTGATACATTTTAATGCTTTGTAAATGAATATTTTCTGAGTATCTTTAAAACAAGATGTCAACAGATGCCTTCTACCTGCTCTCCTGGTGAAGGGTGGTTCAGTCCATCCTATTCATGATTGGTTCATTGTCAACAAAATGTTACATAACATACAGGCATCACTCAGTAACTGTTCATCCACCCCAGAAATGACATGGGCTACAGTTTTTTTATTTTATTTTACAGACTAAATTTGATCCCATTTCAAAACATTCTTGTTTTTGTTTTTTTTGTTTTTTTTTTACAACATATGATGGTACATACGTTGCTGGAAGTTAAGTAAAATATAGTGATACAGTGATGTCTGAATTTCTCAGACTGAGGGTTTTTGGTCTGGTCTGCTCAACACTTCAGTGGGTGGGGCTGTTTTTATTGGAGATTAAGTGGTTCCATCAAAGCTTTATTGATTGAAGGAAAGTTCACTGGTGTCATTAGGTGCACTCAGTGCTTTGATGAGGCTAATGAAAACTGAAGTGGTTATGAGTTGGGTTATTATGTCTCTCGGTAGGAGACAGACACAGTAAAGACATTAAAATTGTTCTGCATGAAGAAAACGCTCACTCTTTATGTGAGTAAGAGAGAGAAGTGACAGGAGACTCCACATAATGGACCAGCTCAGATAGAACAAATAGAATTTCATGCTGTGAAGTTAAGTAGCTATGAATCATGCTTTTTAGTCTTGTAAGGCTTTATATAAATTTATTAGACTATTCATTTTTTAGATTTTTTTGACTTGACTCTAAAAGTTTGGATATGATCGCGTTGTTTGTGTTATGTTAACAGGGCCGGGGATCTTTGTTTCCCGTGTTCATTCACCATAGTTGCAGATACTTTAGGAGGTGTGATCAGAAAGTTTAGTGGGTTTATTAAAAGCACAAACTATGCTGCTATTCACTTTGAAGGCCATCCTCTTATTCACCTCTGGCTTCCAGCGATATGAACACACTTACTCGCCATGCATGCTGGATTTCCTCTCTGTGTGAAAAATAACAGCCTTTAAAGGTGGAGACTTTGTTGTTGATGTCAAAAAACAAGCATATTTTCGAGCGCTTTGTGTTGTACTCACCACAGTTCAAGCCTTCCCTTTGATCCTTTATGCATCAAAGCGCACAAAGTATTTTTGGTTTGCAGCATTGCAGGACTTTGTGATCATACCTCATTTGTTAGATGGGATGTCTCTGAATCGGTCTGGCACGCGTACATCGATTCAAAGTCTGGTCATATAAATGTTAAAGCATTTCCTTATCATCTATCAAGAAAATAACATCTTAATTTCTCTTGTTGTATCAAGTTGCTTTTTTAGTTGCCTTTACAGTAAGCACTACAGAATGTTGGAAACCTCACATGCCTCACCTTGTCTGGGCTATCTTAGATGTGAAATATGGCTGCCCTGTGGTTTTTGAGTAGGCTTTTTGTTTTAAAATGCTCCATCCACAGTGTGGGCATTTGGGAATTTCTTGAGATATCACGTTTCCTAAAAGATGCACTCTAATGTTCATTAGATGTGAAAACAATCTCTCCTAAAGTTGGGATCTAAACTTATCGGGTTAAGCATACCTTACTCAACCAAATCTTTGAGTGTGTTTTGCTCTTCCACACTGAACTCACTGTTACACCTTATGACTGTTTGCTGCTCTGTTCCAACCTAATCTAAGAGTTGATTAGTCAGCAATTCTATTCACTTTAATTACATGCACCACTCGACATACAAAATCCAAAATATTTGTCAGCTTTATTTTCTTAAATGGGTACCTTTCATTGTCTTGAAGTCTGGAAACCTTTAAATCCTGGTGCGTTTGTTCTAGATTAAAAGATGCGTTGAGAAAACGTTCGTTGTGTTAGTTGCAAAAGTACTTGCGAATGAGCTGTTTTTACCTGCTGTCATCAAATCATTTATATTTTATAAGATGTGCAGAAATACTGTGGATCTGACTAATGCTGACATCCATGCAGAGCTCACACATAAGTGGATTGTAGCTTTGAGTGCTCATCAAAAGATCCAGTATTAACAGACTGCACAGCAAGTGCCAAGAAGTGATTGTGCTGAGTTGAATAGACACCTGATGTAGCAGTCTGGTGTGGTTGTCCTTATGGACGGGCCTTGATCCCAGAGCCCTGTAGTCTTTGAATACTAATTTGTAGTAGTAGATCACACGGCTGGCATCCTGGTCATGTCACCCCAGGTAGCCTGCGCTCTTTCCAGTCTGGGTCATGTTTTGCATCAGCCAGACGTTTTGTCCAAGCATGTGGGACTGTCTTGAGCCCCTGTTTCTTGCTGGTGCCTCAGTTGAAAGAGTAATGAGGAAACAGATTACAGGATTCGGACCAGAATGGATACACAAAGATGCACATGGTTGTAGCTGCACAGAAAGCAGGTGCTTTGTCATTTGTAAGGCTCAAATCTTTTTGCTGCATGGGAAAGACCAGCTTTGCAGAAGCAGGGTGTACATGGGATCAATGGGAGGCTAATGAATTTTAGCAACCCTAATGTCTAATATTAATCGAAGAGACACAAAACTGTTGTTCACTGCTGTTTATTGCATGATCGCAATCCATAAAAGCCACAAAAAGTTGCATGTTTAGGACATAAAATTTGATTGGAATTGTAATAGGCATATTTTTTGGCAATATGTAGTGTTTGTGTTCTGGGAACGGTTAATAGGAGTGTTATTAAAAGATGTACTCTGCCATTTCAAATATAGATATTCACTCCAAAAAATAGTTAAAGTAGGATCATTTGGGTTGGAGAACATACAGATGCATGCATACTAAGGAGATGAAAAGTAAAAATATCACTGAATAATTTGTGGAGCACTCAGAAATAGTTTTGCACTAATGCAAACCATGATTGATGTCAGGATAGCTATTTTAGAGTTTAGTTCAGTGAGTTTGTTTTTTCTTGAATGCAGATATTTAAAAAAGGAATTTTACTTGAGCCACAAAGGTATTCCATTCACTTTTTTTAAGCTGTTAATTTACTAACTCTTTACTAACCCCAGTAAAGCAGTCTCAGTGAGAGCCCCATGGTATAGCACAGCCCTCTTTAGCACCCTGTACAGAGGTGGCTTTGGTCCCGTGTACAAGTTCTCAGAGCAAGGAGCTGTGCACAAAGCTCTGCTCTTCTTCCACAGCAGAGGCAGCAGAATCACGCTGACCAGATCACAGCTCTCTCAGTGATGTATGTGTTGTGTCAGGGACTGCACTTTGTGGCAGGCTGCACAAAGCTTGCTCATTAGTATGCGACAAGCACAGAGGAAAAAGATGGGAGGCAGCATTGCCAAAAGGGAGGCCCGGAGGAAGAGGCAATGTAATATTAGACTAGAGGGGGAGAGAAAATTGATGAAATCAATTTGATCTATCCATTATTCTTGCTACAGAAGTTGGCCAATTCATTTGGAGGAGTGTCTATTTGTACCACATTTGAGTGTGTTGCATTGCCTTGAGGGGGTTGGCCTGCTTTTAAACTACTTGTTTTTCAAATGTTAACTTAAGGTTAATTAACTTCCACTAACTGACACATTCTTTCATAATGTAGGTTGAACAAATGAGTCATTAGATGACACGTCATATTAACTGCTTTTGGAGATGTGTTACAAATGTGCACCTTGCTATTTTTATCTCTAGTATTTTCAGTATAATTTAAAAGGAGCCCCACGCTTCTTTGTTGCTACCCCATATTAAATAAATCCTGAGATGATTTTTGTCTGTCTGTCTGTCTGTCTTTCTTTCTTTAACAACATTCAACTCATTAGTAGCATCAGGATGTAGAAATGAATTAGAATTTTTGTGTCTTTTCTCCTCTTGGACCACTATTTCAGCAGCTTGAAAAACTCAATTCCAGACCCAAATTAACAGAATATTTGCCAGTAAATCACATATGTGATATATAATGTTTAAAAGCCAGATAGTCCGAGAGTTTCCTTTATTTTTACTGCTCATGCTGAGTTTAAAAGCTACCCAGTGGCAATATTTTGGTCACAATTCTTCAAAATTTAAATTTATGGGATCTGTCGGCAAAGAATAACAGCCCGTGTGTCTTGGCAGTGATGTCAAATTCTGTATTGGTGAAGCTATAATAGGCACCTAGTGCAAAAGTTATGACATGGGATGGCAGATATGACACAGGTGTTGCTAATAACATTGTAGCCCTGTGCTTTTAAGGCAGAACGGTCAGCCATGACACTTTTGACAGTGAGACAGCAACACCAGGACTCTGAAGCTGAAGAAACCAATGCAACCCCTTCCAAACACACACACACACACACACACACACACACACACACACACACACACACACACACACACACACACACACACAC